AGAAATTTAAATAATTTGAACAAACGCGAGATGCAAATTGCAAACTGCCGCCTTTGAAGAAAAAAAATGTGGGTTGTTTATAATGCACAGTAAATGATTTACTTTTGATTCTTAGCGAGTGACAATTGATGTTGCTTCAGTAGTTGGCAAACAAAATAGAAGGAGCATAGCACCGAGAACATGGGCAAAAATTGTTTTGGGTGGATCATTGCTGTTCTCCTCGCCCTTCCCACGGGTGATCATTAATTTCTAGGTGCCGCCGCTTTCCCTAATTTGTGCTAAGGTTTTTCTTTTTCCTACAGACTTCCCACCCTAATCAATCTTTAAATTTCAACGTTTGTTCCCTTCATCTTATATTTCATTTGACTGCTTGTTTTACTTGTTTTTTAATTCAATTTCTTAAATTTAACAAAGTTTACCCTCAAAAGTGTATTTGTTGACTTAAAGTAAATCAACCACGTAAACGATAAACAATGAAACGGCAAACTAAAAACAATATGACATTATTAGTACCAAAAGAACTATTAGAGTGATCATTTTTTCTATCAGAAACAGATGTTTGTGTGGATACGGAAGTCAAGGAGAATTATATCTATAACTTAACTTTATTTTTCTCAACTCAATCAATTATGTCTCTCTTTGTAACTTGTCTTCACTCGATCTTCAATTGGTATTTTCATTTTTGACATTCTCTTTCAAAATCTATGATCTACATCTCAATAGTAAATATTATTCCTTTCATTTATCTTTTAAAATTCATCCATAAATGCAAACATATTGTAAGGACTAAGTTAAAAGTCAGTCACTAAAACTAAAAATTAAGATTGAATAGTTTTCCCTGTTTAAAACTTATTTTAAAAATTTATCATGTGTTAGTCTAGTGATTATAAATGATATTGGAGAAAAGATAATCAATGTAAGAATTTTTAGGGCAACTTAGGTGCATGAACCTCCTAGTGAGATAATCATTTGTTATCGGCTAATGTCATGAGTGTTAGCTTGCCATGTAGTTGGTTTATTTTCTTCATTTCCTAATCTTCCCAAAATAAAATACATGTGCTAATATAAATAAATAAATAAATAAATTGGAAACAATATATGTGTTAGAGCTTAACTTTCTTTTAAAAGAAAATTGTTTCCATGATCATTTTCATCTATACATATTTTTAAAGTATTCCAAATTTAATATTTCTTATGCTCGTTAAACTTTAATTATAACCATTTAGTATAATTTTGTATGGATTTAAGTTTAAAATTTATTCTTTTCATTTTTTGGTTTCTTTAGTTAGTTTTGAAAATATTAGATGGATCATTTAAAAGGAAATTGGGAACTTTCATAAATTCCAAGATACATAGAATGAGATTATTGTGACAAAAAAGTCCATACTCTCGAATATTTATGAATAAAATATATAATAGATATTAAATGAATATTTTTAAATAAATATATGTAAATAATAAGTAAGTATTTAATTATTCGTTTACTAATAAGTTACATGATATTCACTAATAATTATTAATGAATTTTATTTGAGTATTTATTTGTAGATTTAAGTTACTAAAATTAAATTATTATTAGTCAGAAAAATATGAATCATGAAATAATTAATTAAATTTTGATTTCAAATATTTCTAATTTTTTTTTATTTGAGCATATGAAAATTGAAGTTATTTTATAAAATATTTATTTTTAAATATTTATATTTCGATATTGCTCATTTAAATTTATTTTTTAAAAACCCAAATTTATTTATATTAATATTTTATTGACTATAATTTGATTTGAATAGTACTTAAAATTATTTTTTATCTGAATCTATATTTGAAAAAATTATTTTTAAATAATTTTATTTAAATATTAAAAGATAAATTATAGAAATATCCGTTAGTATCCATAAATACCCGCATATATATATATATATATATATAAAAGAAAACTTATAGATATTTTTTCATGATGATAAATAATGGGATAAATAATAGGATATATTTATTTAGTATATGGAGTAAGAAGACCCAATCCGTTATCATTCTAAGTGAGATTGTTAAAGTTTCTTTAAAGGCAACAAAAGAAGTTTTGGTGAGGCATGACATGAAGCTACACATTTTGGAATAACTTAGGTAGGGTCATGGAAGGAAAAAATAAGTTTGTCGTGAGAACTTAATTTACATAACGAAAAAAGGTTTGTATATGAGAGGTGAGGTGATGTTGATGCTGAGCCCGTGCAATACACACAATCTGTTTGATTAAAGTTCTCTATCATTCATTCTCTCAATTCAAATTATCCGCCCTTCAATTTAAACTGTTTCCAAGCTCAAGGGGAGAAAATGACCAAAGATACTTAAGAACTGCAATCTTTTTATTTAGGATAATAATTGTTTGATAATTTTTTTTATAATATTTTAATATTATTTATGTGTTATTCTGTTATTGGTTTATGTTGGTGTTTATGATTATTATTATTGATTGTGAAGTAATTTTAGACTAATCACAAAATAACACGATATTAAAATGTTGCCAAAAAATTGTTGTGAAAGTGTTATTATTTATTTATTTAATTGGTCCCTCATACTTGAAAATTTATGTAACAAATATAACAAGAAAAATAATTTTTTAACAACTTTTTTTTTATAACTTTTTATAATAATTTATATATTAGTTTATAACTGATTCATTTAAAAAAGGGTTAAATATGTTTTTAGTCCCTAAACTATTGGTTGTTTCTGGTTTTCGTTTCAAAGTAAGGTACAATTTGGTCCTCATTTTTTTCGAAACGTTCATTTTAGTCCTCGAAAACTAAACACTGTTTAAAAATTTGGTCCTTAAATGAGGATTAAAACCAAAATTCCGAGAACTAAAACAAACGTTTCGAAAAGAATAAGGACCAAATTGTACCTTTGAAAGAGGAACGAAAACCAGAAACGACCAATAATTTAGAGACTAAAAACATATTTAACCCTTTAAAAAAATATACCGACGAATAAGATAGTATGACTTAATTCATTATAAAAAATTGTTAATATATCGTATGCGTACCACAATAAACAGAAGTACACCACTTTGCAACCCATACTAGTTTCTCCGATAATTTTTTGAGAAAACTCAATTGCTGAGTAGTCTGACACTGATGTAAATTGTTTCTTGTATTTTTTTTTTCCAAAGTCAATTCTCAGTTTCCAATAGAACTAACACGTGTGCAAGCTATTGACAAAGAGTGCTACCTCTCTCTCTTTAAATGCTTAATGCAACCTAATCATTTTGTTTGTATTTTCTCCTTCCCCTTAATTAAATATTTCTGTTAAAAATATTCATATGATCTGCAGACTTTTTTTCTTCTAATAATTNATTATTATTGATTGTGAAGTAATTTTAGACTAATCACAAAATAACACGATATTAAAATGTTGCCAAAAAATTGTTGTGAAAGTGTTATTATTTATTTATTTAATTGGTCCCTCATACTTGAAAATTTATGTAACAAATATAACAAGAAAAATAATTTTTTAACAACTTTTTTTTTATAACTTTTTATAATAATTTATATATTAGTTTATAACTGATTCATTTAAAAAAGGGTTAAATATGTTTTTAGTCCCTAAACTATTGGTTGTTTCTGGTTTTCGTTTCAAAGTAAGGTACAATTTGGTCCTCATTTTTTTCGAAACGTTCATTTTAGTCCTCGAAAACTAAACACTGTTTAAAAATTTGGTCCTTAAATGAGGATTAAAACCAAAATTCCGAGAACTAAAACAAACGTTTCGAAAAGAATAAGGACCAAATTGTACCTTTGAAAGAGGAACGAAAACCAGAAACGACCAATAATTTAGAGACTAAAAACATATTTAACCCTTTAAAAAAATATACCGACGAATAAGATAGTATGACTTAATTCATTATAAAAAATTGTTAATATATCGTATGCGTACCACAATAAACAGAAGTACACCACTTTGCAACCCATACTAGTTTCTCCGATAATTTTTTGAGAAAACTCAATTGCTGAGTAGTCTGACACTGATGTAAATTGTTTCTTGTATTTTTTTTTTCCAAAGTCAATTCTCAGTTTCCAATAGAACTAACACGTGTGCAAGCTATTGACAAAGAGTGCTACCTCTCTCTCTTTAAATGCTTAATGCAACCTAATCATTTTGTTTGTATTTTCTCCTTCCCCTTAATTAAATATTTCTGTTAAAAATATTCATATGATCTGCAGACTTTTTTTCTTCTAATAATTCCTATCTTTTTTCTCATAAAAAGCATTGACCTACTTTTCCTAATCACCACCACCTTGCCTTTAAGGACTCGTTTCCCTGCCTTTTCTCTCACCTTCTGTGTCTCTGTATGAAACAAAATCTTTCTCCCTCCCAACCCTCCACTCAGTTCAAGAAAATCAAAAAGGCATGTTTGGACATCAGGATATAGGTAAATGTTAGAAAAATACACATAAATTTTCTTGCTCTCATAAGAATCAATTTACTCATGAGTTGCAATTAGTAGCATACCATTTTAACTATGCTTTTGGTTTTGGTGATGGTGCTAAGAGCATGATGCTCTTAAATCACCCAAAATACAAACTATTTTTTCTTTACAGATTGATGGTTTTAACATGCAGTTTTTGTATTTTCCCAAAGATAGATTAGAGGAGATAACAAAGGTGAGAGCAGAGGTGGAGGCTTCTTCTCAAATGGGAAGGAAGCATTTCTATGGTCCAACTCCTGGGATAACCTTAAACACAGTAACCCCTTGTGCTGCATGCAAGCTTTTGAGAAGAAGGTGTGCTGAAGAATGCCCTTTCTCTCCTTATTTTTCACCACACGAGCCTCAAAAGTTTGTAGCCGTTCACAAAGTGTTTGGTGCAAGCAATGTCTCCAAGATGCTTCTGGTTGGTGCCAAACTAGCTCCTCACACCAGAATAGTTACTCTTTTTTGTTCTTCAATTGGATAAAAACTGTCTTGTTTTCAAATTTTATTTTTATGTGTAGGAGGTACCAGAGGGCCAAAGAGCTGATGCAGCAAATAGCCTTGTTTACGAAGCTAACTTGAGGCTGAGAGATCCTGTATATGGATGCATGGGTGCAATATCAACTTTGCAGCAACAAGTTCAATCCTTACAAGCAGAACTGAATGCAATAAGGGCAGAGATACTAAAATACAAATATAGAGAGGCTGCAAGTCTCATTTCTTCTAATCATGCAGCTTTGGTTTCTTCAGCTGATGCAATCTCAGCAGCAATTCCCACAAACTCACAACCACAAGGTCTTTCTCAACCTCTTACTCCTCCTCCTCCACCAAAACCATTGCATACTCATCCACTAAAACCATTGCATTCTCCTTCTGTTATCCTTTCATCCTTCTCTTCATCTTCAACTTCTTCTGTGTACACTCCTCCTAAAAGCTCAATGAGCCTTGGATCCATTTCCAGCACTGAAAATGTCCCATACTTTGTTTAGGTCCATTTCTTTACTATTCATTTGAGTAGGAATAATCATGTTTTTCTCAACAGAGTAGAATGTATCACTTGGCCATCTAGAGCTAATTATGGGAAAGGGAAACCCCCATTATTCATGTGCTTTTAGTGGTATTTTCTACTCTTTTGATGTTCTTTTTCACAAACATTATCATTATGATTTTTACTTTTATGCTCGATTTGTCATCATTTGTAAGAGTACTGCATTCGAAGTGTAGGAACAACGTATAGGCATCAAATTTACTTTCACAAGGTAACTATAGATTGCAAAGTTTCATGGCTTGTAAAACCATCTTGCATTTTGAAATAGTGTTAATCTTCAAGAAAAGTTCAAACTGATGTAAAAGATTAAGGCATGAGATGGAGAAAAAGTGAATAAATTAATTCAAGGAAAGTGTAGATGTGGGTAAATAATGCAGAAAGCAAAAGTATAAAGAATACAATGAGAAACTCTTGATGCTCTGAGAACTATAATTTAATTATAGAAATGGTGCTGAAGATCACATGAACAGATTAAGTATAGCCTTGAACAATTGGCCACTGCACGTGGGGGGAATATATCTCCATTTGACTCAAGTTTAAATAACTCACTCACGAGTCTGTGCCAGCTGCAGATTTAAAGGATGTGAAAGACTTAACTTCTTAAAAGGGAGACAAGGTACGGTGCCTGTGTTATAGTTCCTGTTCCCATGTGAAGATATAGATATACATATATATAGATCTAAGAACATATATTCAAAACCCTTTTCTCGTTTTACTTAGATTCTCAAACTTTATCAATCTTTGTATATATCAAAAAATAAATATACCTGCCACCCCACATTTCTCTCTCTCTCTCTCTCTATATATATATATATAACATATAATAGAAAAATAAAAGTAAAGCTTTTCTGTGTCTTTTATTGAATTGTATGCTCTAACCTTTGATATGTAAGCAGCAAAATCATAACCACTGATTGCATAGTTAGAATTAGTTTTATATAGCTTAACAAGTCACTCAAAGTATATACAGTAATTTACTATTCCACTGATATAAGAAATTGTGATAACCAAAGGCTATGCATAACCTTTTCTTTCAAAAGGTGTGATAGTTAGGCATGGTGGTATTGGAATCTTATGTGATCACCAAAAAAAAGTTAGGTAGAATAATAGAACAATAGAAAGATTGATTATCTGTTAACGGCTATGTGCTAAATGCTAGCACGTAGTGTAATCTAGAATAAAATAGTTCTTGATCAGCTTCATTTTAGCAGCCAAAAGAGATAAATAAGCAGATTTCATGGCATCAAATAACTCACCTATGATATAAAAAAGTACAAAACTGATTTCAGCCAATGCTGGAATCAGTAGCCTTTCATATGCATAACCAAGCTTAACTAGAACACCAGAGAATCAAAGGGAAAAAAGAAGAAGAAAAAAGAATAGTGGAATCGTTTGCTTTGCAGTGTAATTAAAGTTGTTCAATGCAAGTAAAGGGTATACAATCTAAGTCAATCTTTCCACCAACAAAATCTGGTGACCAATGGAAGCATTCGATTCCTTTGACGTGTGAAACTCAACCTGAGATAGTGTGAAAATAGGCTTAGAAAATGTTAATAAATAAAAAAAGATAGGTAATACACATGCATAGAATGCTCCATTTTTATTATTTATATTGTGTGATAGTTTGGACGAAAGATGCGTATGGATTATGACAGAGATCGAACTTAGTTTTGTCACCGTTGCTTGAAATATTCGCATCTTTGGCTCAACATGGCCATTAGTTATTGCTCAAATTACTATATTACTTAATATTCAAAACATGAGAAACTTCATCTTTCCTACAAAGCATATTGTGTATCATGTCAAACACTCCATCAACAAGGCACGAGAACTTTGGTTTTCTTTATTGAGTTTTTTTGAGAAGTGAAAGCAAGAAATAGTTTTATAGCACGCAATTCAAGCCAGTTGGGAGACTTGGAGGTAAATCATGCAATATTTTAAGAAACAGTATGGATTAAAAAATATTATCAAAGTGATATGGCATTTATATGGGGTTGACAAGTTCTAATTTGGTATTAAATGTGAGAAAAAGATAAAATATGTGCTTGTGAGGATTCCTAGAAACATAGATGTGTATTAATGATAGGTCTTTGGATCTATATAAATGTGATTAAAAGTCAAAGATACATATCTAAATAAAGCATTCACATGGATATATATATGAATGCTTAATTAGCTATTAGTTGAGCTGTGTCACAGTGATTAATCAGAGAGGTCCTTCCCAGTGACAGGGACAGCTCAAAACTTGCTTTGTATTAATGACTTCTCACATGGAATCATCACCTGCAACTTGCTCTCCAATAATTAACCTAAAGGACAAGAGGGTGTTAGCCAATTTAGTTATATGCTCAACCTTTTAATCATACCATATATCTTATGTTAAGTTTGGTCATTGACAACTTATCACTATATTCTTTGGTTTATCTAAAATCCATCTTATATAGATTGAATTTTAAACATATTTAATAGAACTATATTCTTGATATCTGTCGGAAAAAGATTTAAGTTTAAATATATTTTCGAGATTGGTATATATGTATTACAAAGAGTAGGATAAAGAGAGGATAAAAGTATATAAATTTTAATTTTATCAAATATTTGATAAAGGGTAAAATATATATGTGTAAATGTAAGAATTACTATTTTGTTATACTTACATTTAATTTTATAAAAGTTCAATTTGTTTTTTTACAAGTTATATATGAAAATTATAAGTATTATAACTTTTAAGTAAAGTTGTATTTTATTTATGTAGCTATTTTTCTAAATATTGTGAAAGTTGGTCCTTATTTTGTCACTATCTTTGGAAATGCTTTTAATACCTAAAGTAAGCATTAGTTACCTATCTTGAAATGAATAATGGATAAAAATAATATTTCAAATTTTGAAAGGATAAAAATAAAAAATAAAGTACATATTTTAACAATAAAAAAATACCCATTGTATGGTGAAAATTATAATTTTAAACCATAATGGAACTAAAACAGAAATCATTGAAATCAAAACTTGAGGCTGGAAATAATTTTAAAAAAAAAAATTATAATGATAATTGACATATAAGGTAAGAATATTAACAATAGGAAAAAATATAGATCAAGCTAGAAGACCCAAATTATTATTATTGATGGAATGTATAATGTAGTTACACAAAGTTATATGGTAAGAATAAACATGACTTAAAGAGTAAAGGCTTGGACTTTTACCTTTTAAAAACTCCATTTCTTTCACAGATGAAACACATAGAATTTACTTCTTTATGTCATTTCTTTCACACCTGCCTCGTATCAAAGAAACTTCTCATTTTGTTATTTTTAAATTATACAATTTGAAAAATATTAGAATTGTATAATGTAGAAGTTATTTTTTACATTTAAATTACATAATATCAAAGTCATTTTTTCTCAATAAAATCATTTTCAAATTACACAATTCAAAAATAAAAAAATAACTTATTGATTGTGCAATCTAGAAACCAAAAATGCTTAAGAAAAAATGACTTCCTAATTATATTATTCCAAAGTTATTTTTAACTTTTGAATTATGTAATTCAGAAATTTTCTTTTAAGAAAAAATATTTTTGGATTTTCTAAATCCAAAGGTAAAATTGACTTCCAAATTGCAAAATAATTTATAGAATCTAAAAGATAAAAATAACTTTCAAATTACATAATCTAAAGTTATTTTTGACTTTGAGATCCTGTAATTCAAAAAAGAAAAAAAGAGGAAAATGAGAATTTTTTTATATGGACATGTAGAAAAGAAATATATGGAAGTGCATGATAAATTGGCTTAACCTACTCAAAATTCACTGTAGTTAAGAAATATATAGATATGATATTTCTTATCTAATAGAGTGAAGTATTTTTTATATGACGAATGATAACCTGTTTGTCAGATACGGTTTGTCATTTGTCATGTCATTTTAGACTCACATGCCATTTATGTATCTTTTTTCATTTTACCTTTAAAAATTAGATATCTAGTTGAATTTTTGTAACGAATTAAAAAACCAAAAAAGAATTTTAACATAAAAACTATAAAATTGAAAAAATAATTTATATTTAATTTTAAAATTGAAATTTTATTATTTTATTATTATCATAAAAAATATACACGTATTTTCATAGTTTTTAATGATTGCATATATCTACCATAGTTTACAATGAGTTCAACTATATTTGACAAAAAATAAAATATCAGTTTAAACTCTACCATATCATATATTTATAGGTATTTATTTATTTTTATATTAAAAAATGTATTTTTCTCAAGGATCCAACTTTTTATACTTTTATAAAACAAATTATAATTTAGTGATGTTATAATTTCTATTATATTTTGATGTATAATAATTAAATCATTCAAAAAAATTATAAAAATTTCTTTAACTTTTTTTATTTTAAATTTCATAACTTTATTTAAATTTTAGTCAATATAATATTTTTAAATAAAGTAAGTGTGGTGAAAGGTATTTACTTGAATACATGAAAGATATAAATCTATATTTAAAACTAAAGTAAATATGAATACTATTTCAATAAAAACAAATATGAATAGCTATTTTAAAATTAGAAAATGTATGAGAGTTATTTTACTAGTAATGTCATTTAGCCATGAACTTGAGAATACAGGGCAACTCCCCCTAATATTTCTCATTAGAGTTATTTCCTTAGATGTTACATGAGTCTTCATTGAATATGCTAACAAATGCGTATTGTGTTACCTTTTATGGAATAAAAAGTAATAGAAATGTTGAATAAAAATTATTGTAATATTCAATATATTTATTAAGGTTACGTTTGACAAAAATAAATAAAAAAATATACTAAAAGCTTATTGAAAAACTGCATGCATGTTTTTAGGAATCAAAAAGAGAAGAGTGCTCACATAGAACAGAAGGAAGAAGATCAAACCAACAACATTATTAAAGTGAAAGAGCCATTTAATATAGATATATGAAGGAAGAAACCTCATCTTTATGTCATCATTGGAGCTTTCAATGGTAAGTTCTACACCAACCTGTTCTGTCACTTACAGATGCTAATATATCAGTCAAGTATACATTATTTAGCCAATTAGCATTTTCATAATCCTCTTGTTAGAATTTAGACCTAGATACATATAATTCTGTTACATTCAGGCTATTTCAATTATGTTGAGAATTTTCATTGCCATTTCAGCTCCATGTTCTATTTTTTTAACATAGATTATAACTTATAAGGAGAAACTGATATTAGAGAAAGCAAAAGATACAGCCTAGAGAGAGCATCCATGTACTGAGAGATACTTTATAGCTATGTCTTTTTAGCAGTTAGCACAAGTCAACCCCTAAATATACTTTATATAGTACATCGATTAGTTAAAAGGCTAGTGGAATCATTAAAGGTTAAATTGATTGTATCCAACTTAAGAATAATCTTGATGCAATTCAACTAGTCAATCTAACGCAAGACAAGAACAACCTTTTGTTTTTATCCAAAATCAAGTAACACCAGGCCACTATCCAAAACTAATAAGAACTCTGAAGCAAGAGAATCATTGAAAAGTTTTACAATTTGCCATGCAACAAGTAACAACCATGACTTTTCTAACAATATGAGGAAAAAAAGACCGAATGAATATCCGTATTCTATCTGAATATAGAAGAATCATGATGGAAGATACAAAACAAAAAATGTATCTCTCACTGCGGTATAAATTCTACTAAAGTGTAAAGTACTAAAGTCTACATAACAAAAACAATAAAACTAACCAAACGGTTCTCACTTATATCATAAAAAGTATCACTACACAAATGAAAAGAAACAAAAATTAAACTGTTATAGCTATGCAGAAAGTCTAGTTACATTGCATAATTTCTAGTCTATGATTTTGAAACATTATCAGTGCCTTTTTAAGCTGTTTTGTATACAAAAGTGAAGATAATTCAGGGGAAAATTAAAATTTTCCGATTAATTAACTGCCTTTATTTGAACAAGTATACCAAGGTCTTGGCAAGCCATGTATAGAGCAAACAAGCAATAGAACCATTCACACTACCTTGGTACTTCATCATGCTGTTTTGCCTATTCATCGTATAAGCATGTCTTTTTGTGCTCGTTTAGCTTCTGAGCACTTCAATGGTTGTACTACATATGGCAACATTGTCTGAAGTAATTGCAAACCTTATGTAATTCTTATCATTCATAATAAGTTCTAAAAGCATATTTTGATCCTAAAGACTTTAGAGGAGTAAAATCTGCCAGTAAAAAGTTAAACTGTTCTATGGGACAACATTTGCATATGTTTAGAATCCCCAAAAAAAAACTCCAAGCTAGGTTTTGCACGCCTTATGATAATAGGTATTGAAGCTGTTGCATATTGGTTTACTTAACATCCATTGTTAGGTTCTCTTTTAACATTTTCCTTGTTTGCTATCTTATCTGTTATTCTGTTTCAGGCAGTTAGCAGTTAAGTAGTTTAGTTGGTTGGTCATGTAAGTTAGGCTTAAATAGTACTTCTCTTTAAACCTGATAATAAGGAGTTTATACCGGTAAAAGAAAGAATCAGAAGTTTAATACACAAGTGGTTGCTGTGAGGAGATTGAGAGTTTAAAAATCAGGTTTCTTAACACAATTGTTAATATCTTAACTCAAGAAAACCCAATAGTGACAATTAACTCCCTCATAGTCCCTGATATCCGTAGAAGAGAACCCAACTATCCTGTAGGAAAACAAATTCCTCTTAAAGAAAGTAGAAGAGCAAAATAAAGTCTTAAAGTTTGCATAACCCAGCTGACATAAATAGTTCAAATTCACATCAGATGGGTTAGGTGTTGTCGGGTAGTATCCTATCGTGTGTCTGAATTCTTGGACTGAGGCTTCTACATTTGTTGAACAACTTTGCTAATATCAATTGGTTTTAAGTTAACATCTGACATGATATTAGAACTTACAGATCATTTTGGTTTTCAATTAGTTTGGAAGCAATGACATCAAAGAAAATATAAGCATATTGGGAAGAAAAAATGTAACTATATCAAGACTACAAAAAATCAATGATTCCTGTTGTTAGAATATGAAAATAAATGTTACAACCTGTGACTTCTAATAAAAAAGTAATGCCACACAAGCTCGTTACACATTATGTGAAACTATCGAAAGAAATAAATATTACATGATTCTCACCAAATTCAAAATAGCATGTATCACTAGAGAGAATCTCACCTAGTTTACTCTTATAATAGGCCTCTAGCAATCATTTCATAAAGAAGTTTCTCCGCCTTATCATTTTCATCTTCTTCAAAGAAAGCACGAATCATTATTTCAAAAGTTACAGCATCTGGAATGCAACCATTGTCTTCCATTTTTGACCATAAGGCCAATGCTTCATCAAGCAAGCCCTCTTTACAAAGGCCGTTGATCATAACAGTATATGTTTTGGCGTTTAAACAATAGCCTTTAGTCAAAAGATCTAGAAAAACCTCTTGTGCATTCTTAAGTTTTCCACCTTTACAAAGTCCATCAAGAAGTATAGTGAATGTGTACACATTTGGCTGAATTCCTTGGTTTTTCATTTTGTTGAAGAATTCAATTGCTTTGTCAAGATGACCATTTTTGCATAAAGCATTTATTAAGGTATTATAAGTGATTACATCAAGAGGTTGACCTACATCATGCATCTGACCAATAAGATCCCAAACGTAAGAGATTCTTCCTGATTTGCACAAACCAGCAATAAGAGAAGTATAAGTCACTGTATCAGGAACCATATTTTTCTGGTGCATTTCTTTAAAAAGATTCATAGCATCATCCACCATGTGAATATTACATAGTCCATGAATCATGATAGTATAGCAGTGAACATCAGGAGTTACTCCCATTTGGGTCATAGTGTAGAATACATGTTTTGCACTGGTCACTTCATTAACTAAGAAATATCCATCCATTAAAGTACTACAAACAATAACATCAGGTTTCAAACATGCTTTCACCATCACAGCAAACACATTTCTAGCTTCTTTTACCTTTCCTTCTTTACATAAAGCATCAATCAATATACTATAGGTATAAATATCTATGTCGATGCTTTTCAATACCATTTCATTAAACAAACCAATTGCTTTGTTTAGTTGGCCCACAGTGCAAAAACCACATATTAAACTAGTGTAAGTGACAACATCAGGAGAAATTCCCTTCACAACCATTTCAGAATATAAATCACAAGCCTCAGTAACAAGACTATCTTTGCATAGACTATCAATGATTGTGCTGTACATTATCAAATTAGGCTTAATAGACCTTCCTTCAATCATTCTCAACAACCTAATGGCAGCTCTTGTTTCTCCTATTTTACACACCCCATTGATCAAAGTCCCATAACTAATCTCATCCAGCCGAAACCCTTGTGTCAACACGTTGTCATGAAAGTTCAGAGCATTTTTGACCTCACCCTTAAGACAGAGACCTTTCATGAGAGTGTTCAAGGTTATGGTAGTTGGGTAATGACCCAGTTTGAGAACCTTGCCCACTACAGAGAAGGCGAAGGCCATTTGACCTAAGTGGCAGAAACAGTTAACCAATATGTTCAAAGTGAAAAAGTCAGGATCAACTCCAGTGAATTCCATCTGCTTATAAAGAGAAATAGTAGAACTGTAACGCTTACTATTCATAAGGGAACTTAAAATCTTGTTAAATTGGAATGTGGGTGGGGTAGCATGCATATGGAGCATGTGGTTGAATTGGGAAAAAGCATCATCAAGATTGTTAATGAGTGAGCGCTGGGAGTGAGAGTGAGAGTGGAGTGTACAGGGTGAAGGGAAGCAAAGAAGAGAAAAGGGGTTTTGAAGGAAAGGAGGAAATTTGGGAATGAAAGGAGAGAGAAAATACCTTAATCTTCTTGCCAATAACATGTTTTGTTCGTTGACACCAACATGACTGAAAAGAATGTGTGGTTTTGTGTTTGGTCGGTCTCTGTGAGAGAGACCAAAGTTCGGTTTGCTGCTATTCAGATTCTGGGAACAGGGAACAACTGATGCTTAGGTTACACGACAAAAAAATATGTAAAGACAAATATATGAGAAACTTTTTCATTATATTTAACAAAGAAAAAAAAAATCGGCTATACAATATAATATATAATTGAATAAGAATATAATAGAATAAAAAAATTTATAATGTGAATACATCTTAACTAAACTAGTATTTTAGTTTGTAAATTATAAATATAAATATTAAATTGATATAATTAAAACTCATAAGACTAATACTTTTTATATTAAATTTATATTAGAATTAAAATAACTGATCATTGTTTAAATTGAAATTTGATTTTAAAATAAATTTAACTTAATATATTGACTTAATAATTTTTTTTAATCGTAAAATTATTAAGCCTGTATAAGTCTTGAATTTTTATTTTACATTTTCTCGCACATAGCTAAATTATTGCTTTATCTCTCTATAAACCAGATACAAAAATAAATATTTAAAATATATTTATTTGAAATACTTCATCTTGATTTGTGTGGGTGTGTGTAAAAGCCTAGACAATATTATTGAATCATTGACCGGTGAACTGAAAAATATTAACTGCAAGTTTTCTATATATGATTTGTGATTTATTTATCGTATAAGATTGGAAATGTTTTCCGGGAGTAAATTTTTTCAAAATAGTAAAACTGTAAGAAATCTTAGTTCTATGCTTCGATTCATATGGAAAAAACAGCCTGTTAATAATACTTTTAGTCCAAAACTAACACATTATAAAATATGCAAAATAAGGTGAGGAACTATTTTAAACTATTTTGAAGTAGCACTCAATTTAAAATCCTTTATATCAGCAATTAACACTGTCATTATATTAAGATTTCGTTCTTATTAAAGAGAGGTCATTCCAAACATTTTAGTACTGCATGAATGATCAAATGAAACGTAAAATCATAGTAAAAATACTATTATGGAGTAATTGAATGTTATGGAGTAATTGAATGTTATTGTGCTAATGAATTTTTAGTTTCATTGTCCATTATTTCAACCACGAAGTTGTAGCTCCAAATCAGACAGAACAAAACCTGTTCAATGTCATGCAATAGAACAACAACAACTTTGAAGCAGCCATTAAGCCAGAAAAACTTTCAAATTTAGGGAGGGCTCAAATGAGAAGATAGTGTTTGATACACTGACCAGTCTAATGATTAGGTATACATCAGAAAAGCTTTCATTGGAAAGATGGTCTCATTGAGCAGTAGTGAAACCAGCTACTCCTGGTTCTTGATATAAGCATACAAGTTCACATAGATATCAATATGCCATACAAATTAAAAGCAATTATAACTTTAACTTGTTCAACCAGGCTTTACTCATTTCAGAAACGCGATACTTATGCAGAAAAACATCAAAATGTTATAGATCAAAGATCAAGACTTCCAGCAAAAAGACCACTGCACCGACCAATGAGTTCACCAATTTATGTTCAGTGCAAATAGAATTTGTTCAACAATGACCAACAATGTATTCAGTTCCAATATTTTCTATTAAGGAAATGTTGAACTTCAAAATTCAATGCTACATTATACATAAACAAGTACAAGCATCTGCGATTTTTACCAGATAATGAATGTGAATAAGAGGGGTTATCCTCCAAACAAAATTTTTGGTGCTATTCTCCAAACAGAATTAAACTTCCACCTAAATAGCCCGTGAAATAAAGGTTTGCATTACAAACCAGTACAAGTTGGGGTGAAACTCTAATTCTAAATAGAGAACTACACATAGAGAATAAGCTTCCGTGTATCAGGTAAATCAAAGGTTTCTTATGAGTACAAAAGAAAAACACAGAGGAAATAAACAGTCTCCAAAAAATACTCTGTTCAATAGACACACTCAAGCTATTCTCACCAGCACCTTGTTCTTTTTGCCAGCTGATAACAGGAGAACTTTCCCATCCACTATATCCGCAGCTTCAATCCTCTTACCTTCACTATCCACTCTGCTATTATTTAAGTAAAGCCCCCCTTGCTTCAACAACCTCCTTGCCGCAGACTTACTCTCGAACAAACCAGAAGACACCGAAAGATCCACCAATGACAGATTCAAAACCTCTTCATAAGCCAAAGAACAAGATGGCACATCCTCAGCAATCCCCTCAATGGTTTTCCAGTCCAACTTCGTCCCTGACCCCGGCTTCAATGCCTCAGTGGCCTGAAGAGCCTCAGCCAAACCTTCTTCCCCATGAACAAATCGTGTAACTTCTTCCGCCAGTCTCCGCTGGGCGGTGTTAGGCACATAGCCAGGCTTCGCCATCTCCCTTTCCAAGGCAACTATCTCCTCAATGTCCAAAAATGTAAGAATTCTCAAAAACCTAATCACATCATCATCAGTAATACTAAAAAAATACTGGTAAAACTTATAGGGAGACAAAAACTTTGGAGACAACCAAATAGCACCATCCTCAGACTTTCCAAACTTGGTACCATCACTCTTCAAAAGAAGAGGGAATGTCAAGCCATATGCATCTTTCACGTGCAATATCTTCCTAATCAATTCAGTCCCAGCAGTTATATTACCCCATTGATCACTACCCCCAATCTGAACACTTATACCCTCATTCTGAAACAAGTGCAAGAAATCGTAACCTTGCAACAACTGATATGTGAACTCAGTGAAACTAATTCCTTCTTCTGACTCCAACCTCTTCCTTACACTCTCCTTAGAAATCATAGACCCGACCCTAGCAAACCTACCCACCCTTTTCAAAAAATCCAACAAACTAAACTCCTTCCACCAGTCATAGTTATTCAAAATTACAACAGATAAATCAGAGTCCACCGAGTTCGGATTTCGGCCGCGACCCAAAATCCGTTTAATGGTGTTGGAGATACCCACCGTGTTTTTCTCCAAGGACTCGGTATCAAGTTCGGGCCTTTCGAGAGATTTTCCTGAGGGGTCGCCCACTCTCGCGGTGGCGCCTCCGATCAACGCGACGGCACCGTGACCGCTGCGGTGGAACCAGGAGAGCACGATGATGCCAAGGAGGTTGCCGAGGTGCAGAGACTCCCCGGTGGGGTCGAAACCGCAGTAGACCTTGACCGGTGAGGAGCACGCGGCCCGTAGCGCGTCGCTGGTGATGGACTCGACCAGACCGCGTTCTTCGAGGATTTCAATGACGTTGCGGCGGGATTGTTGGAGGGCGCAGGTGGTTTTTGTGGCACATTGAAGAAGAAAGGGAGAAGAATGGGGTTTGAAGGGACTAAAGAAACGTGTGGTTGAATGGTTGAAAAAGCGTGTTCTCGCTAAAACAGAAATGGAGGCCATTGGGTGTGTTACTGTGTGACTCCGGCTTACTCTTTCAAGTTTGGGATGATGAAGGATATCATTTTGTGTCTCTCTTTCACCATTTCTATTTATTAATAACTATTAAATATTTAACATCATTATGTTATTCAAAGGAGTTAAACTTGATTTTTTATCAAGGAAAAGAAAAAGGTAAACTCGTTCTTTTTAAATAAAAACTTAAAATACTTGTTCATTTTTTTCTTCCAAGGTTATGGTAGTTGGGTAATGACCCAGTTTGAGAACCTTGCCCACTACAGAGAAGGCGAAGGCCATTTGACCTAAGTGGCAGAAACAGTTAACCAATATGTTCAAAGTGAAAAAGTCAGGATCAACTCCAGTGAATTCCATCTGCTTATAAAGAGAAATAGTAGAACTGTAACGCTTACTATTCATAAGGGAACTTAAAATCTTGTTAAATTGGAATGTGGGTGGGGTAGCATGCATATGGAGCATGTGGTTGAATTGGGAAAAAGCATCATCAAGATTGTTAATGAGTGAGCGCTGGGAGTGAGAGTGAGAGTGGAGTGTACAGGGTGAAGGGAAGCAAAGAAGAGAAAAGGGGTTTTGAAGGAAAGGAGGAAATTTGGGAATGAAAGGAGAGAGAAAATACCTTAATCTTCTTGCCAATAACATGTTTTGTTCGTTGACACCAACATGACTGAAAAGATTGTGTGGTTTTGTGTTTGGTCGGTCTCTGTGAGAGAGACCAAAGTTCGGTTTGCTGCTATTCAGATTCTGGGAACAGGGAACAACTGATGCTTAGGTTACACGACAAAAAAATATGTAAAGACAAATATATGAGAAACTTTTTCATTATATTTAACAAAGAAAAAAAAAATCGGCTATACAATATAATATATAATTGAATAAGAATATAATAGAATAAAAAAATTTATAATGTGAATACATCTTAACTAAACTAGTATTTTAGTTTGTAAATTATAAATATAAATATTAAATTGATATAATTAAAACTCATAAGACTAATACTTTTTATATTAAATTTATATTAGAATTAAAATAACTGATCATTGTTTAAATTGAAATTTGATTTTAAAATAAATTTAACTTAATATATTGACTTAATAATTTTTTTTAATCGTAAAATTATTAAGCCTGTATAAGTCTTGAATTTTTATTTTACATTTTCTCGCACATAGCTAAATTATTGCTTTATCTCTCTATAAACCAGATACAAAAATAAATATTTAAAATATATTTATTTGAAATACTTCATCTTGATTTGTGTGGGTGTGTAAAAGCCTAGACAATATTATTGAATCATTGACCGGTGAACTGAAAAATATTAACTGCAAGTTTTCTATATATGATTTGTGATTTATTTATCGTATAAGATTGGAAATGTTTTCCGGGAGTAAATTTTTTCAAAATAGTAAAACTGTAAGAAATCTTAGTTCTATGCTTCGATTCATATGGAAAAAACAGCCTGTTAATAATACTTTTTGTCCAAAACTAACACATTATAAAATATGCAAAATAAGGTGAGGAACTATTTTAAACTATTTTGAAGTAGCACTCAATTTAAAATCCTTTATATCAGCAATTAACACTGTCATTATATTAAGATTTCGT